ACTAAGTTGCGAAAACAAGGTCTAACAACTTCTATACAACGAAAGGAGACTGTGACCACACATCTTGGTCTTTATAACTTCGCTTAAATCTTTCACTTTGTCGCGGAGTCGGGCTACGTGGACTCGTCATCTCTGGCCCCCTATTTTGTTCGCTTTTTCTGACCCGGTTTTCGGATATTCAAGCCGCATCCGATCAAATCTGAGGCGCTGGCTCAGCCCAGACGTGCCTGCTGCAATTTCTTCACCGGTCGGTCTGAGTCGGCGTATCGATCCGGGGCCAAGATAAAAGCCGCTTCTGGCCTGCGACAGCTCGCACGCTGCCCGATCGATGGTCGATTGAGGCCAGACCGTGGCCTGACCGCCGGTCAAATACTCGCGTTCCCGGCGCCATTTTTTGTGTTTATTTCTGCTCCAGCCACTTTGTCCTCTGGGTCGGTTTATGGAGGTGCGGGTATGCTGGAATGCGTACACTTGGCCACTTGACGTGAACGAAGGGTTCAGCAGCAGTCGACTTATTCTTGATTATGTAATCTGTTCAAGAGAGAGTTTTCAAGTAAATTCTTCTTGCAATTCCTCTTTTTCCAGCCTAAAGCGCAAGAACCTTCGTGGAACTGGAGCCGTTTGAATACGCGGCTAGGCGCCTCTGGAGGCACCCCCACGTTGCCACCCCATTCTTTCGTGTGCTACACGTCAGCAATAAAGTCGGGTGAACAGAACAAGCCTGAACACACCCACACAAACACACATACACCAAATGCCCGGTTGATGACTGGATCTTCGTGTCGTTCCCGTCTCCTTTTGTCTTTGGCACCATTTTTAACAGTTTGTTTTGTTGGCCAGGTTATTCTGCCGCCTTTTCGTCCTCTTCACTCACGACAATCTCGGCCAAGAAACGACCGCCCACGAGGACTACAGACTCTGTCTCCTCTTCAGGCGTTCAGCAACGATGGCGATCTTTCTGGCCGGAGCAATCTTCTCTCCTTTTGGTTTATCCTTCAGCCCAGGAGTCTTAATGTCTATCGTGCTTTTTTGCCTACCCCCAGAGAATTCCAGTTATTATAGTCGAGTGCATCATAGCTTTTTCCCATAAATATGCGGAATCACAAAGACTCTTGTCTTGGGAACATAAAAAGTATACGGACCAGTGAGATTTAGGCTTGATTGATTCCTCCACTTTTTCAGCCCCAAACCCACTTCAGGCACAGTGTTCCCTCGTGGCTGCCTTCGAAGTCTCACCAATTTCTGCTGTCCTTACCCTCCACCCATCGACTCACTCACTCCCTCAACGGACTCAAAAAATATGGTGCAATATTAATGTCAAGACCATTAGTGAGGCATATTAAAAATGGACAGTTCAGCGGAAGCCATATGGTGGTTCACACACATTGAAACAGAGGTGGTCAATGCATTTCATCACGCTAATTATTCAAAAAGCACACCTTCATTCACGGTGCACTGCAATTTCGCTCTGTCTTGGCCTCTACCACTCATCAATTGTTAACTGGGGCTAACTTTGGGCTGTGGCAACACTTGCGGTAATAAGGCATCCAATACAAAGCCGAAGATACTGGCCATAATCCCGACCTTTTGTGGTGCATTGGCTTATGAAGAAGAAAATAAGCATAACATTCTGAAAGGGATTAAATTAACAAAGGTTCGACTATATACAGTTAGAGTGTTTCTTGTTTTTAGCTATAACGAACTCCCCTCTCAAGTGCAACTAGTTTAAGACTTGACGTAAACGTAAGACGAAACGAGCAAATGGACGAGATTGCCCTAGACCTAGTGGCACAATCTTCCCATTAAAGAAATCGTGCTGACCTTTTAACTGGCATGTGGAAGAAAGTTTCAATGTAATGCAAGCCAATATCAAATTATAAATGTAATCGGGACATTGCTTTGTAGACCTTCATTTACTATGAAAGTGCATGATGAAGAGCTGATAGCCGTTGTCCTGTGGGAGATTGGTTTAGGTATAAACTTCAAGTTGACGTAGTCCACGAGGCCTCCTCCCTTGTTTTGAATGAAAACCGGCTGACCTTTCGTTCGCCATCTGGCAGGCCTAGTCAGAGCTGGAATCCTTTCCTACAAAGGCTCCAGGTCAACAAGAAGTCAAGATGCGTGAAATGTGTGATTTACGGGCAGATATAATCAACTATTTGAGAATTAAGACCAGCCGGCATTCCGAGGACTGATCTCTGATGAATTCATTCAGGGTGTACTATAATTTTGTTATGAAGGCTTTCACTTTGTATGAGAATGTCTGATGAAGAAATTCATAGATCAACCTCGTCAGAAGACGACTGCTGATTTCCATTTTACCGCACCTCTTGGCCTTAATACGACGTTCAGGTTGATTCAGTCCATGAGATATCCTCCATCCTCTCGTATTTACAACAATTTTGGTATCGTCTTGCCTTGGAAGCAATGACTGTAATGCAGACTAATAACTATGTGGAGATGCGACTTTCCGTCCATATTTATGGACTTAAGAAAGCACCTTGTGGGTCAGAATTCTGGATAAGGAAGTTGTTTCGAGGTACATGACAAAGTAAAATTCAATGCAACGCTTGTTTTCAATTAATCCTGTGCTGATAAATGAGTTGTCGGCTAAACGTCAATCGACCAATGACGGACTCTGGTATAACCGAGAGTCAATGACAGCTCATACATCAAATGGCTAGTCTAACGCAATATGTGCTCTAATTAACAAGCTATACTCAATTATGTCTCTATTTTCAGGCTGCACTATCAAGCAAGGCTAGTCGAATGAAAGTAAAAATCCCTCACCCAAAAACATTTTGATACCGACTGCCCGAAACTATTTTTATAATCGTATAGGCTCTAATAAAAATAGAATTGAGTTCTGTCTAAAATGATAATTTAATAAATGGAAATTTTCATGACCTTAAAATACATAATGTTTCACATAATTATCATACTCGACATGAATTAAACGCCCAAATGTATTGAGTTGCAACCAACCGTTTTGATAAAGTCAGCCAAAACTCAAGGGGGTCAAAGAAGTATCCTAGAAATAAAGAAGGAAAGTAAAAATAAAAGGAGAGAAACGTAGAAATGCTGTGAGATAAAACCGGAAAATGGTCCACATTGTTAATGGTAGCTAGGTTGAGAAATTTAAAAAATACATTATTAACTCACATGAATTATAGGCCAAGAAGGGTACAGAGATGAAAATTTTACAAAAGATAAAGCGTTAATAATTAATAAGATGCCAAAGCTAACTGAAATCTAAATTATATTTTATTTCTATCTACATGATAATCTGTCGAAAATCCGAATAAGGTTCATTTAAAATTTACGAAGGAAATATTATTTCCAACAAAATGTGTTGCAGCTAGAATCTATTCGGCAGGAAGTGCACGCAAATAGAGAGGAAGACGATAAGCAGAATTATGATTATGGCTGAGCTATACACAGTGCCTTGATGCCGAACTATGAAACCTAAAACCGCCAGTCAGAGGCCTCAATTGGCCAGAGTTCTGAGCAGAAAGGTTAAAGCAAGCACAAAAAAGAACAAAGTAGATCATAAAGAACGTAGAAAATATTCATCGAGAACCAAGTTGATCAGACAAATGAGTTCGACCGTTAGTCCCATTAATCTGTAATGGGAGACAAAAGGCAACCAAGAAAGAAAAATTAATATTCTACAAAAACTACATCCAAAACGGAGGCTATCACGTATAACTGGGTGTGGAAAGACTAACAGGCACTTTAAAGAAATATAAAAATTGATCAAGAGACCAAGTAAAACAGAAGTTAATGAGAAGTTATTGGAAAACTGGAAAGTAGCTGTAAGGCAAGGAGGTGAACAGGTAGAGTAAAATATGCAAAAATGGAAAGGATAGGTGGATAGGGAAAGGACAAACGAAGATAGTGTATATATGATGACTCTCGCTCTGGCTAGAAGTGTTAGCGTACAACTTTACACCAACAAACAAAAGAAATGTATATACGAAATGAAAATATAGCCACTTTCTAGTTATGTTTAATAAAGAGCATGCTATCTCTGATGGTGTAGATTGGCGTAATGATAGTTAGTTGGCCAGGGAGGGACTTGCACTTCAGTAAACAGCATTCGTAAGGTAGCTGAGACTTATTCTAAGGGTAGGGAGACGAAAAATATGTACATAAATAGATAAATGATAAAAAACATGTCACTGTTTCTTAGTGCTTGACTGATGAAGGTCTAAAAACAGAACTTTCTGCTTAAATGGGAATTTGGTTGCGCATAAGA